GCCCAAAAGCAGGGCAGGTGTGGTTGCCAAGGGCGCCTGGTACTGTTGACTGTAAGACCAGCCCTGTCCGTGACACATACCAACATACACCTGCACACAGACAGTGCATGTACACAACACACATGCTCGAGGACAGTTACACGCTCACACACACACACACACACACAGAGTAAACATGAAGGTGCCTGGTGTGGCGACCGTCACCCAGCACTTGTGAGGGCTACATAAGATCCGTCACACAGTAGCTCTCCGTAAACAGGAAACTAGAAGCTCTAAAGTAGACACGGCTCTATAGTCCTCTATCCATCATCTGCTCACAAATTGTGATTCCTTGCCCAGTGACGGTGGTGGCACATGCCTTCAATCCCAGCACTTGGGAAGCAGAGGGAGGCAGATCTGAGTTCGAGGCCAGCCTGGTCTACGGACGGAGTTCCAGAACAGCCAGAGATACACAGAGAAACCTTGTCTCCAAAAACCAAGATCAAATAAGAAAAAAAAACTGCTCTGGCTCCTCTTCCTCCATGGCTCCTGTCCTCCCTGAGCAAGGTGACCCATTTCTCCTGGACTGTGTTTCATTTCCAAGGGGCTGTGGTGCCCGCTCAGAGACCTTCTTCGAGTCATGCCTCCTTGTGCCTTATAGATCCTGGAGGCAATTCCTCTCTTATTTTTATGTTTCCAGCTTTGTTAGTTTGGGGGCAGGGTCACCCTACATAGTTCAGGCTAGCCTCAAAGTCCTGAGAGTCCTGCTTCCACCTTCCAGGGTTGAGAATGCAGATGTGGCCCCACATCTGGTTTATGCAATTCTGTGAACAGAACTATGGCTTCATGGATGCCGATACAAGCATCCAGTAACTGAGCTACAGTCCTCACCTCTTGTGTTTAGAGCTGGCCTTGGACTTGTAATAGTCCTCCTGCCTCAGCTCCAAGTACTGAGATGGCAGGCTCCTGTGACTGCCTCTAGCTACCATCATGTGTTGTCATGTCCTGTTCAGTGGGCTGTGCTGAAAGAGGGATGGACCTCCCCCTCCCCAGCTTTCTGTACCAGCTTCTAGTACTGGGCCAGTAAACACTTGGCTTCCCATCCACAGAGAAGCCTTCTTCAGGAAGCCCTCCCTGGCCTTCCCTGGGGCCTCACCTCCTCAGGTCGTCATGGAATGGCAAGAAGAGCCACTTCTCAGGCATGTCCTTGAGGAACAGGTGCTGTTGCTCCTCCGTGGGGTCCTGGGACACATAGATCAGGGCCAGCTGTGCCGCCCGTAGCACGTAGAACTCGTCAGTGAGTCGCACGAAGAAATCTTTGAGGACCGGGGCAAAGGCCTGGCACTGCGGACAGGACCCGGCACTGAAGAACAGCAGCACCAGACGGTTCTCTAGCCGGCGGCTCAGCTCAGCTTCCGTCTCCACCTCATCCTGGTCGCTGTTGTTTCTGATCAAAATGCGGCCAGAGAAGAGGGATGCCATGGTAGCAGTGTGTACGGGGCAAGAACACCGGGATGGGGCTGGGGAGACACACTGGAGAGGGATAAGGCCCAGAGCCTTCTTCCTGGGTTTCCCTAGCTCCAGGAATAGGAACCTCTGAAGCCAGATTAGCTGCTAATCTTTCTGTAGGTCAACCTCTACAGGGCCAGCATTGATTTGAAGCGGTGAGACCTCGTGGACCTTTAGCAGAGCCAAGATGCTTGTAAGGTGTTAACAAAGTCTGTGAGCCCAGCACTGAGACAGGGGTGGGGGGGTGAGGAGGGGTGGAAGGATCACTAAATGTTCCAGCACACCCTGGGATATGTGACAAAAAGTGAGAGGGACTGGAGCGTGGCTTGGTTTGAGCCCCTGCCTAGAGTCCCCCAATGAGGGGCTGGGGATGTGGCTGAGGGGGTGGGTGGAGTCCTGTCTAGAATCCCCCTGTGAAGGTCAGGTGCATGGTTCAGGGCCTGGCTTTCATCACCTGCTACATAGTAAAGCAAACAAAACTATCAACTCCAGTAATGAAGGAATATGCTTGACATAACTCCAGCAATTCTTTCTAAGAAAGAATTTGGTAAAAACTGAAATAAATACTGTAGGCTTCTCCCTTTTCTGTCCGCTCTTATCACCCAGACTACATCTGGGAATTCTGAGGTTTCCAGCACCCCTCTTAATTATCAAAATCCACATAAACTTTTCCAAGGGGAGTGTGTCACTCAAGGTGGCTGCAGTCTGTACTCTGGGCTCGGACAGGCTTCTGTGAAATACAAAGAAACCTTTGTTGGTTGGGCATGGTGGCACACACCTTTAATCACAGCATTTGGGAGGCAGAGGCAGGTGGATCTCTATGAGTTCAAGGCCAGCCTGGTCTACTGAGAGACCTCCAGGACAGCTAGGACTACACAGAGAAACCCTGTCTCAAAGAAAGAAAAAAAAGTAAGCAAGCAAGCAAGCAAACAAACCAAAAAAACCCCAAAAGCAACAAAAAAGAAACCTTTGTTGTTTTTGAGAAAGGGTCTTTTGTAACCCGGGATGGTATCAAATTTACTTTGTAGCCAAGGTTGACCCTGATCCTCCTGCTGCCCCAAGGTGTGAATCCTGGTTTCTGCAAAGACAGAACAAGCACAGAGAAAGGGCAGGAGTTTGGACAAACGTTTTTTGTCTGCTGCAAGATGCAAGAATACAGGAGTCATTCCCAAGGCAAAGGCCTGGGACTGGGGATTTACTCAGGAACCCACTCTAGACAGGTTTAGTTGACTTTGTCTTGTTTAGCACTTGTTGGGTAGGGGTCACATGCCACAGTGCACTTGTGTAGAACAGAAGACCATGGGCAGCGGTTGGTCGTTTGCTTCCTCCATGTCCTGGGAATTGAACTCAGGTCGTCAGGCTTTTTGGCAAGCGCCTTAGCTGCTGAGCCCTCGCTTCAGCCCTGCACATGCTCAGTTCAGGCGATAGTTAAGAGAGAAAAGATAGACATGTTTTGTGGGGGGTGGGCCTGGCCAAAAGCCAAAGATTAAACAAAGCAAAAGACAGAAAGCTGGGCATGCTCAGTTTGCCCTGTCAGTTCCCAGCAGGTAACATCAGAAAGGACAGTCACTCTGAAGGTGTGTCCGCTGCGGCTGTCACCAACACTACCCACTTCACAGCTGCACACCACTGTCCTTCCTTCTCAGGGGTCTCTGTATCCACTGTAGTCTCAGACAAGGGTAAGCCTGAACTTGCTGTATGCTCGTCTTGTTTATGGGGTAAGGTCACTGGGCATGAAAGGCAGGGCTTTCTGCGCTAGGCAAGCATGCTACCAGTTGAACCTTTCTTCCACATCTTCAGCTCTTCCATAGGGGAACTCTAGATCCTAGTCCAGGCCATCTCAATCTCAAAGCCTCCTTCTTCACTCTCCCTAACACCAGAATTAGAGGTGAGCCACTAGCCTTTATTTTTATTTATTTTTCTTACTTGTTTGTTTGTTTGCCCCCCCCCCAAATCTGGTGTGTTACTATGTGGGAAAGTCAGAAAATAGCTGTTGGGAGTTCTCTTCCACCACGTGCTTCCCGAGGACCAAACTCGCCAGCCTGCTCTCAGCCACTCAGATTTTAGGACTGAAGACTGGGAGCAGGTGTGGGGATTCGATGACGGTCAGGAGTCAAATGCTTACACTCAATGCTCTATAGAGTAGTAGTAGAAGAAGAAGACGAGGAGGGGAGAAGAGGAAGGGGGAGGGAGGCGCGGGATGGTGAGAGGAGGAAGTGGGGCAAAGGGCACAGGAGATGTTCCAGGAATATGGAAACAGGAGGAGGCCATGAGAAAGGAGGGCAGGCGGCAGGGCTGAATCCCAGACCTAAGCTGGTGGGCCTGTTGGAGCACTCTGGGTCTTTACCTGTAAAATAGGGCGATAGGGATAAAGGGAGAGATGGAAGCTCTAGAGACTTGTCAGTGTTGACCCCTGACTCTCTGGGCCAGTGTTCGGGATCTTCAACAGCCCCCCCCCCATCCCACCCACCCACCTCCCTGAGACCAATGGCAGCTGCGAGCGGGGGTGGGGCCGCGCCTGCCCAGCCTTGGCCTTCGAGTGACTCTGGAAGCCGTCCCCGGCTGGCTTTCTCCCAAGGAGAGCTGTGGGAAGGTCGGCCAAGCGGGGCAGAAAACAAGTAAACCCGCAGGGTGGGCAGGGGGCGTGGGAGGGAGGCTGGGAGGGAGGGACAGACCAGAGGCACGCAGGGCCGCTGTGCTGTGAGAAGCGCCCAGGGAACTTCTGAGTTCAGCCCTCAGCGGTCACTTCGCAGAAGTTCCCTGTCCTGGCCTCCTGTGGTAGCTTCAGTGAGAACCCGCGAGGGAGCAGCGAGACCCGGGGTCTGCAAGCCTGAGCAGGTCAGCCTGACAGCAGGACGAGGGTACCCTAGCGAGAAGCTAGGGATGGTGGCGCCTCTGGATGAGAGTTTAGGACTTTGGGGGTGCAAACAGGGTTCTAGGGAGCTCCTGCCCCTGGGGAGTAATAAGGGATCCTGGGGTGCAACAGGGCTTCATGGGGGATCCTGGGGCACATGAAGGGCATGTGTCAATAAAAGATGGGGACCGGATGTGTGCTTGACACGCCCTGGGATTCTGGGGTGTGACTTATTAAGGTTTTGCAGAGGTAGGTAGAATTGAGGTGTGGAGTCTCCTTATCTCCAAGACTGAGGCCTCTGTAGCCCCCAGGATGTGAATTTCGACTCTCTGGGAACCTGGAATGCGGAGAAGCCTCGGGGCTTGGATCTAGGACAAGCTGGATCAAGTAGGCTCCAGCACAGGCAGGTCCCGGGCGGGAGCTGGGGCCTGAGGCTCCAGGGAATGGGATCTCGGAAACCATCTGGGTGGACGCGCGCCGGAGCCACGCCCCCTAGAGCCTTGGCCCCGCCCTCAGCACCTGCGTGTTTTCCTCGCCGCAGGGACAAGCCCTCCTCCCCCGCGTCCCTGCACTTTGTTGCTGTGGAGATTGGTAGGTAGCTTGAGCAGGCCGCTCTAGTTTACGAGTCTCGTTGGCCACAGGCTCTCTGGCCCGCGCGTCCTCTCTATGGTCCAGGCCTCCGGAAGGGGGTCGGCCTGTGCGGAGCGAGGTGAGGGCCTGGGACCGTTAGGCGGCAGGGAAGAGGGGTTCGGGGCAGAGCTAGGCGCTGGGTGGTCCGCACTGACCCGACTTTCCCGTGAGCCGCGACCGACAAGGCTTGGCGGCTGCGCCGCAGGCTCAGGTAGAATCTGGGTCCCGAATGTCAGTAAGCTAGGGGCTGTGGGCGGGCCCCGCTTGTGGGCGGGGCCGTAGCCTCAGCTGGGCGGGGCCTAGGTCAGAGCGAGCTGGGGCGTGCTTGGGCGGGGTCACAGGACGCTGCAGAGGGCGGGGCCTGCCTCAGGGCTGGTGCGTTCGGAACTGTGGGCGGGACCGTAGACCTCACCTGCAGGAGGGACGTGGAGCGGTGCAGGCGTGCGAGATGGGGGCGGAGCCAAGGCCTCATCTGGAGGAGGAGCCTCATCGGGTTCCCGGGCTTTGATTTGAAGTCCTCACTTGTGGGTGGAAATAGAGGCATTTGATGGAGGTGTGGTCTAATGATGAGGGGCGGAACCTGGCGGTGTTGGTGTCCAGGCACATGGTCAAGGCGTGGGGCGGGGTAGAAATTCTGGGGCTGGGGGAGGATCGGATGGCAATGATTGACAGCGAGGTGTCCAATCCCAGACATTGAGGCGGGTTGGGTTAAAGCTACCCAGGAGCCTGACTCAGAAGCAGTGGGGACGGGGCCTGGTTCTTAGTCTAAGCGTTTGGGTTTAGGCGACAGCCTGAGGGAGCGCAGTGTCGTCAAGGACTGGGACGCTGCCTGGGCGGGGCCAGGGCTAGGCTGGGGGCGGGGTCCTCAGCCTCAGCTGTGTGCTCCGCAGGATGCGGGCTCCGGGAGCGGGGACGGCCTCGGTGGCCTCGCTGGCGCTCCTCTGGCTGCTGGGGCTTCCGTGGACCTGGAGCGCGGCGGCGGCGTTCGGTGTGTACGTGGGCGGCGGCGGCTGGCGCTTCCTGCGTATTGTCTGCAAGACGGCGAGGCGGGACCTCTTGTAAGTAGATGGGGTTGAAAATTAGGAGTCATGGATGTGTGTCCTTCGGCGAGCCGGAGTCTTACAGGATGGTGTGAGGGTCCCCGTGTGGCCCAGCGTTGCTTTTATAGCTGGGTCGGTGGCCGAGGGTGGAGTGAGAGATTGCAAGACTCTGCCGGGTTCTGCAGGAGACAGATGGAAGTTGTGGAGAGAATTGAGTATAGAGTACATTATTGGGACTTGGAGGGCTGTTAGGGTGTTAGGTGGCCACCGTGAGAGCCTGGGTAATTGGTAGATGTTGAGAGAATTGGGGGTTCCGGTGGCGCGATGGAGATTGAGACCTCTAGGGGTGACCCATGTCCAGATTCTTGGAATGAACAGGTTTGGGATGAAGGAACGTCTTGGGGAGTCTAAAGGACTACGTGATCAAAAGGGCCTCTAAGGAGTGTTGGCCTCTCGGGGGAGATCTCTGTGGAACCTTGAGCATCGTTCTGGGCCTGTGGAATGGTCACTGTATGTACCAGGGGATCTCTGAGGGGAGGTCTCTGGGGAGTTATGGTGTACAGGAACCTGGAGGCTTCTGGGATGTCTCTCAGGGTTTTGTTGAGGGGAGTAGGGTGACCTCAGTATTGCTGGGATTCGGAGTCTCAAGTGAACCTTATGGAACCATCTGAGTACCTTCACAGGCCGCCTTCAAGGGCAGACTGAGCATGTGAGGAAGCAGGTTTTCGGGGGACAGCAGGATGGTGTGGAATGATGGGCCCTCACAAGTCGACTGGCTTGAGCTGAAGCTTCTCCATACCGTGGTTCTTGCCTGCTGTCTGCCTCCTGGACTTTCTTTCTGTTTTTCTTCTCAAAGTAGTGGAGAAACTTCATTCGAAGCAAATTAGTGTGGAATCAGAGAAGACATTGTACTGTGTGACGGAGGCACATGAGTGAGGGCACTCAGGGCTTTGTTTTTGGAGATAGACTTTTAAGTAGCCCAGGCTGGCCTTGAACTCTCCATAGAGCCAGGGATGACCTTGAAGTCCTGGTCCTCTACCTTTCTGCCTTTCTCTCCCCAGTGCTGAGAATGTAGCAAGGGCTTTGTGCACACTGAGCAAGTGTTGCCACTCAGCCCAGGCCACAGTCCTTGTTTTACTTTTTGAGAGGGTTCTTATGGAATCCAGCTTCTCACATTTCTTCTTTCTCTTCCCTTTTCTTCCCCCTTCCCAACCTCTGTGTTTCTTTCTTGCCCAGGCAGCCCTGGAACTCAAGATCCTTCTGAACCAGCCTCTGGAGTAGCGGGGTGACAGGCAGGTGGTTATCTTAGGAATAAGTGGAGGGGAACTGGGGGGATGGCTCAGCCCTCAGAAGCACTTAAGAAGACCTGAGTTTGGCTCACCACCTGCTCCTCCAGTTCCAGGTGATCTACTGCCATCTTCTGGCCTCTGCAAGCTCCACTCCCATGTGTGCACATGTATACAAGCAAGTTCTCAAGCACATACATGCAAAATAAAATCAGCACTTCACTTTTTAATGCACCCAATGTCACACAGGCAGCCATGGATAGGTGCAAGCAAGGTGACTCCAAATCTGGCTGGCCATTGAACAGCTTTTGCTTTTAAAATTATCTTTTCTTCTTTCTTGGTGTTGTTTTTTTAAGATTTTATTTATCATATGTGCATTGCTGTTTTGCCTGCATGTATGTCTGTGTGAGGGTGTTGGATCCTTTAGTACTGGAGTTACATTCAGTTGTGAGCTGCCGTGTGGGCGCTGGGAGTTGAACCCGGGTCCTCTGGAAGAGCAGCCAGTGCTCTCAACCTCTGAGCCACCTCTCCAGCCCTCTTTGTCTTTGTTTTGATGTTTTTGAAACTGGGTCTTACTGGAACCCAGGTTGGCCTTTAAGCTCTGCATCTCCTGGCCTTAGACATCCCCTGCCCAGCTCTGCCCACACCTGCTGTCCAGGAACAGCTGCCAGACCCTGCTGGAGTCTCCCAAGGGGCCTGCTCTTTTCTGCTGGCTGAGTCCTGGGGCTCTGGACGAAAGAAGCTGAAGCCAAGAGAGGCCCTGGGAAGGGCCAGGCTGGACAGAGTTGTCTTTGTGCTCAGTGTAGGGGTGGCTTGGGCAGCTGCCAACCTGGGTGCTGGGGCATGCGGTAGGGACAAAACACCGGATCCCTGCCTGCCGGCGTGGGCCCGCTGGTGGGAGAGGCAAGCTGGAGGGAAGAGCCCTGACAGGCCTACCGTGCTGCTGGAACTCGGCCTGCCTCTGCCTCACAGGCCCACCAACTGTGGCCTGGTCCCATTTCAACTTTTGGAAGAATAGCTTCCTGCTGCCCTAGCCCTGTGTCCTCAGCTGACACACCCACCGTGTTCAAGGGTCCTCGGCAGTTGGTACACCAGGACCTGATCGCACTTTGGGTGGTCCACTTCTCTCATCTCTGATTTAGATCCTTAAGCGGCCGCTTTCTCGAGGTGCATGCATTGAGCACCTGCTGTGTGCAGCATCAGCATCTGTGCCAGTGTAGGCTCGTGGAGGATCTTGAGGGAGCTTTGTTCAGTTCTGAGCCATTCTGCCCTTTGCTTGCTGTGTGACCTCTTGGAGCCGGCAGTTTCTCTGTCGAATCCCAGTTGTGCTGTGACAGTCCTTTGAGTATAGCTGTTGACAGCACAGTACTTGGTATATGCTAGGTGTGTGATGAATGCTGGGGCCGAAGGTCGTCCGGGACACACATTTTAATTTCTTGGTGGTAGTATTTGGTTTTCTTAGTTACTCTGTTTATTAACCAAACTGTGTTCACTACTCTCTGTTCATTCTGGCCCTTGAAAAATGGTTCCAGGAATCACCCCAGGAACTCATTGTTGAGGAGTCTGCCTCCACTAACAGCCTAGAAGACACAGCTTTGAGCCCCAAGCTGTCAGGCTTTAACTATGGAATGACTATGGAGAGCCAGTTTTTAAAATTACTATTTAAGTGTTTTATTTTATTGGATAAGTATAGGTCTCTCTCTCTCTCTCTCTCTCTCTCTCTCTCTCTCTCTCCCTCCCTCTCTCTCTCTTTCACACACACACATGCACACACATGTGTGTGCATGCTGTGTATCCCTAATAGTATTCACAGAGGCTGGAAGAAAGTGTCAGATCTCTTGGAACTGGAGTTACAGATGTTGTGAGCCAGCATGTGGGTTCTGTGTGCCCCTGAGCTGTCCCCCAGCTCCCAATTTCATTTTGAGTCAGCATCTTGCTGTGTAGTGCAGGCGGGTCTACAAGCCCTGGTACCCTCTGTCCCTGGGTGTTGGAATGGCAGGTGTGTGCCATCTACCAAGATCAACACATACCTTGTGTTCCTCTTTGTACTTGTCTTATGATGACATACTGGGCCACGCTGAGCCTAGCTCCCAGGGCAACTGCCATGTCACATGCTGGGCCACGCTGAGCCTAGCTCCCAGACCGATAACCATGTCTGGCAGCTTGTCTGCAGTAAACACCACAGCACCCTTGAAGAGAGTGTCTGGAGCTGCTTCCCGGCACATGGTCACCATGCAGGAGCAGCCCATGGTGACAGACAAAGCCCTGAGGGATCTGCAGGAATGCGGGTATACAGTGCCGAGCAGGAGCAGGAATGGCAGGCTCATTTAACCTCATCTGGGTGGGTGAAGTGGATGCGTAGTAGCTCAAGAGGATTGCCCTCAAGCCTGATGACCTGAGTCAGTCCCCAGCACCCTCAAGGTAGAGGGGGGAAAACAGGCCCCCAAGTCCTCCTCTGATCTTCATACACACAGTGAGTGAGTGCGTTAGTGAAACTTTTTTAAAAAATGAAGACTTCAAATTCTCTTGGCTTTGCAAGCATCCAGAAACGATGATCCTGGACTCACAGAGGTGTATCTGTGTGCGTCCTGTCACATGACCGCTGAATGACCAGGGCAGCGTGTGTCATGACAAGTTAGATCAGTAGGAACATTGGCTGTTTTACATTTATTTTGTGTGTGGGACCATGTGAGTGCACATGTGTATGCGTGGAAGTCAGAAGATATGCACATGCCTTTAATCCCAGCACTCGGTATGCAGAGGCAGGCAGATCTCTGCAGGTTCGAGGCCAGCCTGGTCTTCACAGCAAGTTCTAGGCCAGCCAGGGCTACACATTGGAATACTGTCTGATTTTTTTTTCTTAAAGTTTTTTAAACATTATATTAACATTTTAAAGGCAAGAGTTTTGAGGAAACTTGTAACGTGAGGGCTTGCTTGTTGGGGTTTCTGTCCTCCCACCAGGTCCCACAGCCATTTGGTCCCAAAGAAAATCACACAGAGATTCTATATTAATGATAAACTGATTGGCCCATTAGCTCAGGCTTCTTATTAAGTCTTGTAACTTATATTAACCCATTATTCTTATCTATGTTAGCTACTACATGGCTCAGTACCTTTTTCAGTGGGGCAGGTCACATCCTGCTTCTTCGGTGATCTGGGCAGGACTGGGGAGTGAGCTTCCTTCTTCCCAGAATTCTCCTGTTCTCATTGTCACACCTCTACTTCCTGTTGGGTTGTCCCACCTATATTTCCTGCCTGTCTACAGCCAATCATCATTTATTTAAAACGTAATTGACAGAATACAGAATTGTCCCCCACCAGAGACCCCTGTCCTATAGCCCAGAGTAGCCTCATAATCACTGGGTAGCCCAGACTGGCCTTGAGCTCATGGTCTCCTGCCTTAATGATATTGGCTCCCTCAGAGGTGACCTTTATCAGCCCTCCTCCTAGTGGACCTCTAAGGTCCCACTTCAAAATCCTCAGCATAGCCCCCAAGCCTGTCTTGAGCACTGATGACCCTGGGGCACAGGTGGCTTGGGAACAATAGCCATACTCAGGCACTGGTACTCCTGTCCCTGTGGGATTCCTTGTGGCAGATGCTGAACCAGGAGGGCTGGGCCTTGGGCCTCTGGTCATCTCCTCAGATCCTCTCCTAGCTTCTTTTTCCCTCCCACCCTTCACCTCCTCTTTGTTTAATTTCAGCTTTTACTTAATCTGTTTAGACTAACTATTTTTTATGTGCACAGATGTTTTTGCCTGCATGCATGTGTACCTTATGCCTGCCTAGTGCCTGCAGAAGGCAAAAGAGAGGGCTTTGGGATGGGGACTGGAACTGCGGATGGTTGTGAGCCTCCATGTGCTGAAATCAAAAGGAGGTTCTCTGCAAGAGCAGCCAGTGCTCTAATCACTGAGTAAACTCTGCTTTCCAGCTCTGTTTTTTGTTTGTTTGTTTGTTTAAACTTTTGAGACAGAATCACGCTCTAGAGCAGTGGTTGGCCTTACTCTTCTACCCCCTGCCTCAGACCCCCGGATGCTAGGACGCCACTCTGCCTGACTCGTTGCCTCCTGTGTCTCCAGGGAGACAGACAAGGGCAGTCTGCAGTCCATGGCTGTGGAAGGTCCTGGGTGCCAGGGAAGAGACACCAAGGCAGGGGTCCTGGAGTGTTTGAGCCTAGCACAGCTGAAGTGAGACCTGAGGGGAGCATGACTGCCGCAGCCTGCAGAAAGGCACTGGGGAGGAAGGTGCTGGGCGTGGTCAGGGAGTCCTGTTTATTTTTCTGCAGTGAGCAAGTGGGGAATGGGAATGGGGATGGCAGAGGGCCTTTTTCTTTGTCTCTTCTGAGCCTCACCCAGGCACAGAAGAGGCATTGGACATCTAGGGAGGAATGAAAGCCTGAGGCTGACCTAGCACGTCCTGGTCTCAATCTCTAGTCACATAAACTGGGCACAGTGGCACAGACCTTAGAGCCTTTGCACCAGCTGTGTGGAGGCCACTGTCTTGCTCCTCTGACCCACTGTGAAGGACCCTCATTTTTATTCCTGTCACTGCCCCCATCACGTTCAGTTCTGCCCAGTGCTTTCACTGTGTGGGGATCACCTGGACAGTAGCCCGAGGGGGCGATGGACAGATGAGGGAGGCCATGAAGGATGAGAGGGGATGAGAGGATGAGAAGGATGAAGGAAGGAAGCCTGAGACAGGGTTGCCATGAGTTCAAGGCTAACCTGGGCTAGGGAGGAGCTGTCAAGGCACTGGCAGGTTTGGTGTCTTGTCTTGGCTAGCCTGTGGTCACTGTCTCTGGGTTCTGTGTCCTGCGGTGATGGGGATAGGGAACTCAAGAGACATCCCCAGAGAAAGGAACAAGGGTAGGATGTGAGACCTACCTGATGGCCAGGCCTGTCAGCCCAGTTCCTCTAGATGCTGAGGCTGGAGTGTGAGCTCCAGGCTGGACAGCAGTTAGCCAGACCCTAACTCAAAAGAAGAAAGAGGGCTGGGGCGTGGCTGAGGGGGAGTCCTGCCTAGAATTCCTGTGAGGGCCTGGAGCGTGGTAGTAGGATTGCTTACTCAGTATGCATGTTGACCTGGGTTCAACTGCAACATTACAGAGAACCAAGAAGAATCTGACCCCTGATGCGTAGGTCATCAAGGAAGACTCCATGGTGACTAACACTCATATGGTAGACAAGCTGGCTTTGGGGATTCATAGCTCCCTGGAAGGCTGGTAATGCTCCCTACTCTGAGTTATCAGCCATTAAAGGACTAAGCATACTGGACCCCAACTGCTGTGGGACCCCTGAGCTCGAGCCCGCTCTGGGCAGTGACTTTGTCCCCTTCTCTGCAGTGGCCTCTCGGTTCTGATACGTGTGCGTCTGGAGCTGTGGCGGCACCGGCGTGCGGGAGACACGATCCCACGCATCTTCCAGGCCGTGGCCCGGCGGCAGCCAGAGCGCCTGGCGCTGGTGGATGCCAGCAGTGGTGTGTGCTGGACCTTTGCACAGCTGGACACCTACTCCAATGCCGTGGCTAACCTGTTTCACCAGCTGGGCTTCACACAAGGCGATGTGGTGGCCGTGTTCCTGGAGGGCCGGCCTGAGTTCGTGGGGTTATGGCTGGGCCTGGCCAAGGCTGGTGTGGTGGCCGCACTGCTCAATGTCAACCTGAGGAGGGAACCTCTGGCTTTCTGCCTGGGCACATCAGCTGCCAAGGCCCTCATTTATGGCGGGGAGATGGCAGCAGGTGAGGCCTGGTGGATACCAGGAGGGTGAGGACCTAGGGATCTTAGGCTTAGGGAGACGCTGGCCAGGAATTGTTTCATAACTGTGACCCTGAGCCTCTGTTGCCACAGCGGTGGCAGAGGTGAGCGAGCAGCTGGGGAAGAGCCTCCTCAAATTCTGCTCCGGAGACCCGGGGCCTGAGAGCCTCCTGCCCGACACACAGCTCCTGGACCCCATGCTCGCTGAGGCGCCCACCACACCCCTGGCACAAGCCCCCGGCAAGGGAATGGATGGTAAGTGGAGGGGCCCCTGCCATCTGTCCCTCTGTCCTCAGCTCCCCACTGACCAACACCTGCTTCTCCTGCAGATCGACTGTTTTACATCTATACTTCGGGAACCACGGGGCTTCCTAAGGCGGCCATTGTGGTGCACAGTAGGTGAGCAGGGTTCTAGCACCCACTGCTCCCCAGCTTCTCTCTTCCTCTCTCCCTCTGACTGAGCTCCACGCATCTTCTGCTCAGCCTCCAGTGGCTCTTAACTCCCGTCCCTCCCCCACACCCTGGCCCTGCACCCTTGAAGGTTTTTGGTTTTGGAGACAGGATATTTATTTATTTATTTACTGGTTTTTCAAGACCTGGTTTCTCTGTAGCTTTGGAGCCTGTCCTGGAACTAGCTCTTGTACACCAGGCTGGTCTCAAACTCACAGAGATCCTCCTGCCTCTGCCTCTCCAGTGCTGCACCCTTGAGGGTTTATATCCTAAATCCCGTACCATTCCGCTTTGGCACTCACTGAGACGTGTCAGGTCTCTGTCCCCTCTGGCCCCCACCTCTTCCTCTAGCCCATCAAGGGAGGTCCTTTAAGGCTTGGGACCTTCCCAAGGGGCTTTGTGTCACCTTGCCTCTCACACAGGTACTACCGCATCGCAGCCTTCGGCCACCACTCCTACAGCATGCGTCCGGCTGACGTGCTCTACGACTGCCTGCCTCTCTACCACTCTGCAGGTACGCATGTGCCCCCAGGGCGCGGGTGGGACCCCGCAGGGACCCTCACAGCCACCCTCCCTCTAGGGAACATCATGGGTGTGGGGCAGTGCGTCATCTACGGGCTGACCGTGGTGCTGCGGAAGAAGTTCTCTGCCAGCCGCTTCTGGGATGACTGTGTCAAGTACAACTGCACGGTAGGCCCCGCCTCCTCCCCAGGCCTCGCCCATCATCTCAGTGGCACTGGAGGCCTCTGGGCTCCAGGGCAAGCCTCCTTCACTGGTCAGAATGCAGAGCCCACCTGCACGACTAGACCTGCGTTCAGCGCATGCCCTTCCTGCTCTGGCTCCACCTTATGGTACTGGTCTGTTCTTTCAGACCCCACCTTAAACTATAGATGCTGCCCCTGGCTCTAGCCACTGCTTGCTTAGCCAATTCCACTCAGTCGTCCAGGCCCTGCCTCTCACTTAGGCCCCATCCACTCAACCAAACCAAGGTGCATCCTTCTGGGCAGATATTGCCACTTCTCTGGCCCAGATATACCTGGCCGACCCCTTGTCCCTTCTGACCAAGTCCCATCCTTTGTGCTTAGTCCCCACCCCTTGCAAGACCACACTAACTCTAGGCAGGCTGTTTCTCACCTGCGCAGGCCCACTTCCTCCCATTCAGGCTGCGCTCTGTAAACTAGGCAGTCTCATCTAGTTAAGCCTCAGCTGCTTGGCCCACTTGCCCACCTTGATGGTGGAGTCTGTCTAGGAGAGAAAAGGGAGCCAGTCTGTGTCCCTGGAACACTTTTAAAGGCTTTCTGGGTGAATTCTTCGGAGTCTTCGACCAGCATCACCAAAGCCATCGCACCTATTCTACAGCCAGGGAAACTGAGACTGCAGTACAGCTGGGGTGGAGCCAGCCTATCTGAGTTCCTCCAGGTGCTGCCTGCACAATGCTGGGCTCCCCCCTGATGGGCAGGAGGGTCTGGTGGTAGGTCAGCAAGAGCCAGCCCCCAGGACCCTGCTGCCGCTGGTGGCTCCCAGAGAGAAGCAAGCCACACGCCGTACTCCCCCTGCCTCCCTCTCGGTCCATCAGCAGTTCTTACCTCTCGTCTCCCAGCTCCTGGTGGACTTCGTGCTGCGAGTTTCCACACCACAGGGTCGGCTAGCTCTGGGAAGCCATGCCAGCTCCTTCCTGTTTTTCATCCTCTCTCTACTCTGGAACCCAGGGTGTGGACCTGGGATGGCTGCTTCTCTGCTCTTCATTTTGTTCATGTGGGGTCCAGGGTGATATCAGTGTCTACACCATTCCACCTCTGACCATACTGCAGCCAGCATGGTGAGCCTGTATTGTCAGGCTGCCTGTGGTCACAGGTGCCCATGACATCCCCGGGTCCCTTCGTCTGGACTCTTCACTGGTTTTCAGCAACTGCTTCCTGTCTGCAGATCCTTCAAAGCCGTCCTGTCACCTTGTGTGACAATGAAGAACCCTGTGGGGCAGAGGGGTAGTGGACAGGGCAAGGGGCAGCAGGGTGAAGGGCAATGGGGTGAGGGGCAGCGGGGGGGGGCAAGTAGCGAGGGCAGGAGGGCAGTGCACTGAAGCTGAGTCCAACAAAAGAGCAGAGACAGAGGCCACTGGCCACGCTGCCTCAGGCTATGGACAACACCTGACGGGTAGGATTTTGCTTAGCTTCAGAGCCAGGCTCTTACTTGACAGTCAGGATGGCCTGGACCCATGGTCCTTCTGCCTGAGTTTCCTGAGCGAGTGCTGGAATGGCAGGCGTCTGGCTGGCTGGCTGGCTGCATTGGCCCAGTGTAGCCCTGGCTTTAGGCGAGATTTTACTGAGTTGAAAGAGACCAAAACCCAGAGCTAGAGTCTAAGATTTCTCCAGGGCAGGTTTGAGTTTACAGAAATGGAAAAGCAGAGTGTGAGCTTCAGGCAGGGTGACCTAGGAGGGCGCTCTCTCTCTCTCTCTCTCTCTCTCTCTCTCTCTCTCTCTCTCTCTCTGCCCCATCCTCTTTGGAAAAGACTGACTCGTGTCCTTGCCAGCCTAGAACTTGAAATGAGCCCAGGCTATGCACCCCTTTGGTCCTAGGATGGTGTATGCAGCCATCCCTCCCTTTTCCCCTTTCCATCTGGAGAAAAGGAGGGGACACTGTCCCTTCACTTCAGGGGAGAGAGTCCCCTTTCCAACATCCCATTAAAAGCTTCAGTGAGCTGGACATGAAGGCTAAAACCCGTGACCCCAGGTTAGAGGCTACATCCCTATCATCCTAGCATTTGGAAGACTGAGGCGGAAGGATTAGAAGCTCCTGGATAGCCTAGGCTGCCTAAGACCCTGTCTCAAAAAACACAGATTGGCATGGTGACAGCTGCCATACCGCCCTGGTGTTTGTTTTCAGGTCAGCCTGGGCTACATAGTAAGACCTTATATAAAGGAGAGGAAAAACAATACAATAAGGGAGGGAGGAGATAAAAAAGAATTTGAGGGTACCCAGTTTACTGGAGGTGACACCCTTAATCTATAAGGCAATGGCTTTGTATGTATCCCCTGGTCAAGCTTAGGATGCCGAGGGGACAACTGCAGGGGCACAGTGCAATGGGTCACAAAGCTGCCTGGGAAAAGGAGAGGCTCTAACAATAAGGTATGTCGTCAAGGTCCTCCATCAGTCCGTCCGTCCCCCACCCCACCGCACCCCCATTCCCAAGGGACCTCTTCTGCAGGCCTCTCAGGCCAGACCCGGCCAATCTTCGAGCCCTGCTTCTGATTGGGCGTGAACTGACCCCCCTCCTCCCGCAGGTAGTGCAGTACATCGGTGAAATATGCCGCTACCTGTTGAGGCAACCGATTCGCGACGTCGAGCGGCGCCACCGTGTGCGCCTGGCTGTGGGTAACGGGCTGCGGCCGGCCATCTGGGAGGAGTTCACGCAGCGCTTTGGCGTGAGGCAGATTGGCGAGTTCTACGGCGCCACCGAGTGCAACTGCAGCATCGCCAACATGGACGGCAAGGTTCGCTGCTGTGGGATGCGGGCCAGCACCCGCGAGTCTCCCTCGGCGAGTACCTTGGGTACTCTGCGCGTGTGTGGGCTGCAGTACCGCCGTGGGCCGCTCACCGTCGTATCCACCCCAGGTCGGCTCCTGTGGCTTTAACAGCCGCATTCTCACGCACGTGTACCCCATCCGCCTGGTCAAGGTGAATGAGGACACGATGGAGCCTCTGCGGGATGCCCAGGGCCTATGCATCCCGTGCCAGCCTGGTGAGCCTGACCCCTGCCCAGTGCCTTGGGGAGCTGGGATTCGCACGGCTCCCACCCTGACTCAGCCTGAGTGTTACCCCTTCCAGGGGAGCCCGGCCTTCTCGTGGGTCAGATCAACCAGCAGGATCCTCTGCGACGCTTCGATGGCTACGTTAGCGACAGCGCAACCAGCAAGAAGATCGCCCACAGCGTATTCCGCAAGGGCGACAGCGCCTACCTCTCAGGTGCGGAGCCTTGTGACCCGGCTGGTTGGCTGGATGCGAAACCAGGTCCCACCTGCCCATCTCCCCTGCAGGTGACGTGCTGGTGATGGACGAGCTGGGCTACATGTATTTCCGTGACCGCAGCGGGGACACCTTCCGCTGGCGCGGGGAGAACGTGTCCACCACAGAGGTGGAAGCTGTGCTGAGTCGCCTGCTAGGCCAGACGGACGTGGCCGTGTACGGGGTCGCTGTGCCAGGCAAGCTGGGGACATGGGGTGGTTGTGGGGTCCATCCAGAAGGAACCCACAGGTACAGTATCCTTGGGCCATACACAATCTGGAGAAGTAGTTGCTGACTAGGTAGGGCACTGGATTGGGAGTCCATTCATATTGCTAACATTGAGCCTCAGTTTGGGGGACCCTTAAGATCAGAAGGATGGAAACAGCCCCTTATAAAATGGATATTGTAAGGGCCAGTGTTACCCCAGTTGGGAGGTCACAGAGTAGACTAGAACTCTCCAGGTGGATGGTGTTCTCAGCGGAGCGTCCCTCTGCAGGAGTGGAGGGCAAAGCCGGCATGGCCGCCATTGCGGATCCGCACAGCCAGCTGGACCCTAACTCCATGTACCAGGAATTGCAGAAGGTTCTGGCATCCTATGCCCGACCCATCTTCCTGCGCCTTCTGCCCCAGATGGATACCACAGGTACAGCCCTGCCTAGGGAACCGTTTACTTTGTTCTAATTTAGACTCCTAGCCCCCGTGTGAATGAAGGACCACAGCACCTGTCCTAGGGCGTTTCTTGTTTCCCTGTCATTGCCACCCCACCAGGGGTCCTCAGTTGTTGGGATCCATGTTTCATCTTCTGCATTGTTGTGACAGCTAGGAGGCTGGAGGGCTGTGGGGCTTCACATCGTGGGGTTCTTTCTCTAGGAATTCTCTTTCCCTCTTCTGCGCCAGCTGGACAGCCCTTGCTTTTTCCCTTTATGCTTTTCCTGTGGCGCTGAGGATCAAACCCAGGGCCCCAGGCTAGTGCTCTGCCACTGACCACATGCCCATTTCTTATATAAACGTGCTCTTCTCTGGACTCGGCCTCTCAGGCCCTGGGATGACAGATGTGTGCTATTCCACAAGCCTTGTTTGCTGCTGGGATGGGACTCACTAGCAGCTGAGCTGTCAGCTGCCCCGAGAACTAAGTCCCAGCCCCGAGGTGCACCTTTCCTTTCCTTTCCTTTCCTTTCCTTTCCTTTCCTTTCCTTTCC